AAATTGAATAACAATCAATTTTAGAAACTGACTTATTTAAGTTGTGATAATTTTGAACAATTTTTATACAGAACTATGTTTTGTGGAAGATGACATATATAGAGAATGGTGGTGACAATACTATTTTTTACTTTCACAGCAATTGACCGTATCCTTGGGCAGGATGTCCAGGCTGTAGAACTTGGAATCAAAACATCATGGATGAAATCAGTAATCATATTATTATTATTTATCATATCTTGTATGTTTTTGGTTGATAATCTCAGTATTGCTGGGTTCTCAGGTTAGTTATTATAATTCACTGTATTAGTTTTCTTGGGTGTGGTGAGACTTATTCTAATTTTTCACTCTTTGAATACCAAACTCAACTGTAGTTACAAAATAAAGCTACATAATTCTTTCCATATTATATTTTTGTGTTATTTGGTTCAAAATTAACAGTGAAAAAAAATATTTGTAAAAGAAAAGTTTCTGCATCTGTTGTCATGTCGTGTGGGACCCACATCATATATTCATCACAGTTGTATAAATTATTAGGTGTCATCTAAACACACTTGTATAAAAACATTGTTGTGTTGACTTCCAGATGTCATATGTAATATTTTTGTTACAGTGAACAGAGTCATATTGTTGACCATATTAGGAATGATGTCATTAGCAACGATGATGTCATCATATCACAAAGCACATACACCCCCACAGCTAGTCTACCAATCAGCTCTGAAAACAATGACAGCGATAATAAACATTGGTTATGGCGGAAACGAAATGATGAAAATTAATCTCCGCCAACCTCAGCCTCGTGCTGTTGCCCCTGACGATATTATTATCGCTGTCAAAGCAGCGTCTGTCAATCCTATTGACTTAAAGACACAGAGAGGATATGGACGTACACTACTCAACTATTTACGAAACAGGTCAAAGGTTATATGAATATATTAGCATATCATTACTTTCATACTTTGTGATTGGTAAATCTCAATTATGATATATTGCTGTCAGTTTTATATAAAAAATATGAATAATATTTTCGAATTAATGAATATAATAAATTATTTTCAGGTTCCAGCTGGACAGGGAATTGAATTACCCATGATTCCCGGTAGAGATTGTTCTGGTATCGTGTCTGCTATTGGATCAAAGGTCACCAAGTTTAAAATTGGTGATGAGGTAATTGTGTTTCTTCGTTAACATTTGCAAAAATTTAGTACAATGAAAAAATGGTACAATAAAAAAGAGAATATATCTGTGGTTGCCTGCATGGTAGACCTGCAGCATGGAATCATGGGATACCATGGCTACATCATTTATGCTATTAATTAATGTTTGTTTTTCATTTTAAATTTTAAAACTCCAATTTTAGTTTTGCAAAAAATAGGTACAATGTAATGTAAATTGTGAAAACGGGAAATTGCTATAAACTTGTATAAGTTCATTGTAATTTTGTACAATCAACTCTTGGCAGGTTTGGACAGCTCTGCCATCAGTACAAACATTAGGAACTATGGCAGACTATGTGATGGTTAAGGAGACATATGTTGCTAGGAAACCAAGCAATATCAGTCATGTAGAGGCAGCATCAATACCATATGTCGCCATGACAACATGGAGTGCACTGGTCGATGATGGTAGGTTAGGACCTGACAACAGAAAAGATAAGAGGTATGGAAATTAATCTTGTGTATATTCTGTTGGTATGGAAACCAATTTAGTATATATTCTGTTGTTATGGAAACCAATCTAGTGTATATTTTTGTTGTTTTCTCTATGTAAATTAATGACCTGAATATTTTTGGTTATTGTAACTGTTTGCCGTATTAATGGTTATTGTAACTCATTCCAAGTACAAGGTTCCATGCTTGGGACTTGGGTTTTTTAAAAACAAATAAAATCACAAAATTCATACATGTCATCAACCGGATTTCATTCAAACTTGGCAATGACATCAGTCATGGTGGGTTACTGATGCATGTCATTTATAGTCCCCTTCGGACATAGTCCGAAATGGGGACTTATGTTTTGGAACGTTCGTCATCATTTCCTAGATGCCTGGACAGATTTTTTTCAAAGCTGTACAAAGACAGGTCATAATGGGAGACATGTGCACATCAATTTATTTTTGATTTGGTTTACCTTTGACCGACTGGTTGCCAATTTTGTCAAAAAACACACCAAAAATCAACATTTGGACACGTCATCAACTGTTTCTCGGACATGCCTTGACCGATTTCATTCAAACTTGGCATTGACATCAGTCATGGTGATTTCAATTCAAAATGGTGGATTGGTGTCCATTTTGTTTTTTACAAGTGTTCTGCTCATTTTACAGAGATGATTGTACAGATTTTGGTTAAATTTGGTACAAAGACAAGATATACTGGGTTAAATGTTATTTTCAGTTATTTTTCATTTTCAATGAAATTTAGCTGAATGGCAGCCATTTTTATCAAAAACAAATAAAATCATAAAATTCAAACATGTCATCAACTGTTTATTGGACATGTCTTCATTCAAACTTGGCATTGATATTAGTCATAGTGAGTTACTGATGCACGTCGTTGTTTTTTCGTGATTCGATTCAAACTAGCCGACTGATGACCATTGATGATTTTACAGATTGAGTTTAAATTTGGTACAAAGACAAGATGAAATGGGTTAAATGTTGTTTTTAATTATTTTTTGATTTCAATAAAATTTAGTGAAATGGCAGCAATTTTTTTATGAAAAACAAACAAAATTGTAAAATTGATAATGTCATCAACTGTTTATTTAGGCACGCACAACAGTGTGCATG